ACATACACAGACGGGCTCGCGTCTAGAAACGGAACCATAAGCCATCGGGGTAAGTAATCCGGTTGGCTGATTTCCGTCCGACAAAAAAAAAGGGGTGAAAAAAGGCACGTTCCTTTCCTTCTCGATACCAGCCGTAGGGGGCGCAACGTACATCCTCTACACCGAATGCCGACTTTCTACTTCCGGCGCGAAAACTTTCCGCGCCGTGCTTTACAATAGGGAAGGAAGGGGTGATAAAGAATGGCCGAAACCAGAATGTGCACCCTACAAAAGTAAGAACGCTCCGGAAACGGAAACGATCGTCCACGCGCCGGAGGTATTGTCGGCGCGCCTTTAAACGACACTCGTACCTATCGGAGTCGAGTGGCGACACTCGGCTGATCTACGACTACGCGAAACCAGAACGGACTTCACTCCCGGAGTAACAGCACTGTTTGTGTTTTTCAGCGGCCTGGCCGACTATGAGCCATCATCATGACCTTACTCGACGAATTTCGGTCGCCGCGGGAGCAGAGCCCAGACCAAGAAGGAGGTCGAGATCCTCCACCCTCCGAGGTAATTTATAATATAGTTCATTTTCGCCCGACTGCAAATCGCTAGCGAGCGATTTGCCACGCCGCGTAACGCTGTCGCAATCGGCGTGCGCTACGTGTCGCGCAACACTTTCGAACAATAGATGCGTGTACGAATCGCGCGCGCGCAACCGGCTCCTTTCTTTTTTTTACGGTGCAGGTACGAACTATGCAATACCCGTTAATGACCATTTTGTCACTTTATCTTCGCTAGCATCACACAATGGAATTTGATAAATATCTCATCTCGTTTCCGCGATAACAAGTAACAAACTTTGTTTCTAGTACACGTGTGCGCGCACAAACACAAACACACACACACACACCGTTGCAATGGAAATGCACGGTTTATTACTTCAGTAATAGTAGCAGCAGCAACACCAAAGTCCACTTTAAAAAGTTTCATAATGGAAATTAAGTGGTGCGTTTTTGGCGGTATATAGCGCGTTTTAGTGGATAACCTTCGCGGGAACTGGTTGGGTCGGAAGGTGCCGTAAAGGAGGAAGAGGCTCGTCCTCGACCCTCATGTTGTTTCCATGTTGTTTTTAGGGAATCAGAGCTGACGTTTCCTCTAAAGGAACAAACAAAAAGTTAAAATTCCAAGTAAGAGGCAAATGAAAGACATTTCACCCCATTTAGGAAAATATAACTAAAGGAAACTACTAAAAATACTACTAAATAGATTTATTTCCCTCCATAGAAGTACTTCTTTCGACTAGTAGTAACCTCTAACGTTAATATTTTTAGTAGTTTCCTCTAATAATTGTAATAATATCTAATAATTTCCTCTAGGAAAATAGTAGTATTTTATTTTTATTTTTTATTGTGGTTGTTGTTTTGATTTGTTCTTAATCTGTTATCGGAATCCAACTACGGATCGGAATTTATTTATTTATTTATTTATTTTAAATAAATCGATAAGGAAAAAATTTCTGGTTATATATTTATATATTTCAGTTCTGGAAAGCATTAATTTAATTTTTACGACTCGAACGAGAATGACATCATCCATTTTATAGAGGAGTATTATTACTTGTCAGCTGTTTATAAGAAGTTTTACGAGTTACAGAGTCGTCCGAGCGGGAGGTGGGGTCTCGTTTAACCGTTCAACTAAGGGTTATTTACATTGTAAACAGATAAAATGATGGAATTTCGTTTCTGAAGTTGTCCAGCAATGCCAAGAATCGGTACATAAAAATTCCCTTCGTGTCCTTCGCCGTTGAAGCGCAGGGATTTTTCCCCGTCTGTCGGTCGAACAACCGAAAATTGGGCCGAGATAATCGCGAATCCATTAGAAATACAAGAATCGTTACTTTAACGATTGTTGCTTCGGGGGTTTTCTTTTTCTTTTTCTTTTTTTTTTCCTCTGCAGAAGAATTATAGTTTGAAAATGGAAATTCCCTATCGGTATTCCTTAAATGTTCGCGCTCGTAGAAAGTGTTCTAGGTTAATAGGGCCTCCCCGTGTTTATTCGCATACATTTCAATTTTATTTAAACGTGACAATTCCGAAATCTTTTAAAGATTTCAAAACCAAGAAATTGGTTTAAAAAATTAATAAAAATTTAAGAAAATTAAACTCGAAAGTGTCAAGGAACCGAAACAAAGGTTGTGTCTTTATCCTGTTGCAAAAAATGTAGGAAATTTGGACTTTATTGTTTAAAAATATTCTCACACGATTTTTATTACGTCATAAAATTAACCATAAAAAAATACAATATTCGAAAATATATTTTTTTTCGTTACGTCACTATGATTTGGATTTTTATAATACAAATGACGTAGACAATTGACTCCTTTATTTCAACTGTTTACGTGTCTAATGAATTATTTATGCTATAGGTGTCGTTTGCGTGTTTTAAGTTTTTCGTCAATGTCATAATTTACGTACTTTTTTTATATATTTTTTTGTAGGTTAATCGAAGTAAGTTACTCGGTTTATAGATTTATTACGCAAATGTTCTAATTTATCGTATAAAACCGAAAAAGGAATCTTGAAAGTTGGCATTCTTGTATTAATCTTTTCCCCCTTCCTCCCTTTGCTTCGTGTGAGGCGGGTCAATTTTTTTTTGTGTTTTTACTTGATCCCCATTAGCAAAGTTTGGGGATAAAGTAAATCCAAAAAGGAAATGTGTTTTCGTCACTTATTAACTAACTCTGCGTGCCAGACGGGCCTTTCACCCCACTTCACGTGTGCCAGGTGAAAGAAGTTTCGTTGCCAGTTTCTGTGTCTGGAAAGGGATCGGTAACGAATTTTTCTGTGGTCTGAACACGTGTTCCTTCACTCGTCATCCCTATTATGTAGCTTGGAGAGGGAGGCGGAAACTCTTTTGTTGCTTATCGAATTCTTCTCTATCCGGTTAATCCAGATTGATGGAGCCGCGAAATAGTTACGTGGCGTATTATATTCTGTAGATAGATAATTTAACATCGTTTTTTTCCTTTCTTCACGATTCTAATTGCATTCGTAACTCGATCATCATTGGTTTAACAGCTGGGCGAATTCTCGTGTACGCGTTACATAATCTTCATTGTGCACTTACACTCTGCTCGGATTNAAAAAAAAGGGGTGAAAAAAGGCACGTTCCTTTCCTTCTCGATACCAGCCGTAGGGGGCGCAACGTACATCCTCTACACCGAATGCCGACTTTCTACTTCCGGCGCGAAAACTTTCCGCGCCGTGCTTTACAATAGGGAAGGAAGGGGTGATAAAGAATGGCCGAAACCAGAATGTGCACCCTACAAAAGTAAGAACGCTCCGGAAACGGAAACGATCGTCCACGCGCCGGAGGTATTGTCGGCGCGCCTTTAAACGACACTCGTACCTATCGGAGTCGAGTGGCGACACTCGGCTGATCTACGACTACGCGAAACCAGAACGGACTTCACTCCCGGAGTAACAGCACTGTTTGTGTTTTTCAGCGGCCTGGCCGACTATGAGCCATCATCATGACCTTACTCGACGAATTTCGGTCGCCGCGGGAGCAGAGCCCAGACCAAGAAGGAGGTCGAGATCCTCCACCCTCCGAGGTAATTTATAATATAGTTCATTTTCGCCCGACTGCAAATCGCTAGCGAGCGATTTGCCACGCCGCGTAACGCTGTCGCAATCGGCGTGCGCTACGTGTCGCGCAACACTTTCGAACAATAGATGCGTGTACGAATCGCGCGCGCGCAACCGGCTCCTTTCTTTTTTTTACGGTGCAGGTACGAACTATGCAATACCCGTTAATGACCATTTTGTCACTTTATCTTCGCTAGCATCACACAATGGAATTTGATAAATATCTCATCTCGTTTCCGCGATAACAAGTAACAAACTTTGTTTCTAGTACACGTGTGCGCGCACAAACACAAACACACACACACACACCGTTGCAATGGAAATGCACGGTTTATTACTTCAGTAATAGTAGCAGCAGCAACACCAAAGTCCACTTTAAAAAGTTTCATAATGGAAATTAAGTGGTGCGTTTTTGGCGGTATATAGCGCGTTTTAGTGGATAACCTTCGCGGGAACTGGTTGGGTCGGAAGGTGCCGTAAAGGAGGAAGAGGCTCGTCCTCGACCCTCATGTTGTTTCCATGTTGTTTTTAGGGAATCAGAGCTGACGTTTCCTCTAAAGGAACAAACAAAAAGTTAAAATTCCAAGTAAGAGGCAAATGAAAGACATTTCACCCCATTTAGGAAAATATAACTAAAGGAAACTACTAAAAATACTACTAAATAGATTTATTTCCCTCCATAGAAGTACTTCTTTCGACTAGTAGTAACCTCTAACGTTAATATTTTTAGTAGTTTCCTCTAATAATTGTAATAATATCTAATAATTTCCTCTAGGAAAATAGTAGTATTTTATTTTTATTTTTTATTGTGGTTGTTGTTTTGATTTGTTCTTAATCTGTTATCGGAATCCAACTACGGATCGGAATTTATTTATTTATTTATTTATTTTAAATAAATCGATAAGGAAAAAATTTCTGGTTATATATTTATATATTTCAGTTCTGGAAAGCATTAATTTAATTTTTACGACTCGAACGAGAATGACATCATCCATTTTATAGAGGAGTATTATTACTTGTCAGCTGTTTATAAGAAGTTTTACGAGTTACAGAGTCGTCCGAGCGGGAGGTGGGGTCTCGTTTAACCGTTCAACTAAGGGTTATTTACATTGTAAACAGATAAAATGATGGAATTTCGTTTCTGAAGTTGTCCAGCAATGCCAAGAATCGGTACATAAAAATTCCCTTCGTGTCCTTCGCCGTTGAAGCGCAGGGATTTTTCCCCGTCTGTCGGTCGAACAACCGAAAATTGGGCCGAGATAATCGCGAATCCATTAGAAATACAAGAATCGTTACTTTAACGATTGTTGCTTCGGGGGTTTTCTTTTTCTTTTTCTTTTTTTTTTCCTCTGCAGAAGAATTATAGTTTGAAAATGGAAATTCCCTATCGGTATTCCTTAAATGTTCGCGCTCGTAGAAAGTGTTCTAGGTTAATAGGGCCTCCCCGTGTTTATTCGCATACATTTCAATTTTATTTAAACGTGACAATTCCGAAATCTTTTAAAGATTTCAAAACCAAGAAATTGGTTTAAAAAATTAATAAAAATTTAAGAAAATTAAACTCGAAAGTGTCAAGGAACCGAAACAAAGGTTGTGTCTTTATCCTGTTGCAAAAAATGTAGGAAATTTGGACTTTATTGTTTAAAAATATTCTCACACGATTTTTATTACGTCATAAAATTAACCATAAAAAAATACAATATTCGAAAATATATTTTTTTTCGTTACGTCACTATGATTTGGATTTTTATAATACAAATGACGTAGACAATTGACTCCTTTATTTCAACTGTTTACGTGTCTAATGAATTATTTATGCTATAGGTGTCGTTTGCGTGTTTTAAGTTTTTCGTCAATGTCATAATTTACGTACTTTTTTTATATATTTTTTTGTAGGTTAATCGAAGTAAGTTACTCGGTTTATAGATTTATTACGCAAATGTTCTAATTTATCGTATAAAACCGAAAAAGGAATCTTGAAAGTTGGCATTCTTGTATTAATCTTTTCCCCCTTCCTCCCTTTGCTTCGTGTGAGGCGGGTCAATTTTTTTTTGTGTTTTTACTTGATCCCCATTAGCAAAGTTTGGGGATAAAGTAAATCCAAAAAGGAAATGTGTTTTCGTCACTTATTAACTAACTCTGCGTGCCAGACGGGCCTTTCACCCCACTTCACGTGTGCCAGGTGAAAGAAGTTTCGTTGCCAGTTTCTGTGTCTGGAAAGGGATCGGTAACGAATTTTTCTGTGGTCTGAACACGTGTTCCTTCACTCGTCATCCCTATTATGTAGCTTGGAGAGGGAGGCGGAAACTCTTTTGTTGCTTATCGAATTCTTCTCTATCCGGTTAATCCAGATTGATGGAGCCGCGAAATAGTTACGTAGCGTATTATATTCTGTAGATAGATAATTTAACATCATTTTTTCCTTTCTTCACGATTCTAATTGCATTCGTAACTCGATCATCATTGGTTTAACAGCTGGGCGAATTCTCGTGTACGCGTTACATAATCTTCATTGTGCACTTACACTCTGCTCGGATTGCATTTTTATCTTCTTGTTTTTTCGAAAATTGCTCCTTAAAATGGAAGACGAGTTCCTAATAAGTCGTCACAAACAATCGAAACTGGATTATTACGTGTACGTGACGAAACTGGTACGATACGTTTCGGTTGCGTAAAACACGTTAAATTTAATGTTGTGGAGGACGTTCGACTCGACGTTTTCGAGATAAGTAACGCGTTTTAAATGTTCGTAACAATAATAATGATAATTGAAGGTTTTAAAAAAGCGGGAGATAACGATAAGGAAGGGGAGGAGCTGACTGATAAAAGGAAACAAACCAAATTTTTATAGTCGTATTATCTGAATGGAAGACGTTTCTTAAGCTGTTCTCGAGGATTTTCGGGTATTGTATCGAGTTACTTTACGGTTGTATTCTGGTTATTTTTAGATAACATAACCACATTTATTTCTGTAGTACCACGCTGAGATATTACGCGTTACAACGGCATTGCATCACGTCTTCTAGATATAAAAGTAATGGGAGATCCACAGCTTAATTCTTCAGAATTCTTTCCACTCATTGTAGGAGAATTTAAGAAGTTTCTCGTACTTAAAATGGGTCGACCCAATTTTAAGGACGGATCCAAATTCGCCGATTATTTATTTACATTCTGATATAACAATGCCAGAGATGAGACCCGGCGGTATGTGTCTGACCTTAATGACGTACGCTCGAGTGAGTTTCCCAACAACAAACAATCCGCGGACGTAGCGAATCAACTATCGAATATAATTTCGATAATAATTGCTCCACTTATCATAGAGAAGAACTTCTAGGGTTCAGATAAACTACTTAGAGCGAGCGCTCGGTTCCCACTCGAAACAATCCAAAGACAATTCACTTATCACTAATGATAAAGTGCGACATCCTAGGCAAGGGAAAGGTCCCTTCCACGAACTAGTAGAGTCCAGTCTTCCGTTTATTCCCATGTTTTCGAACGTGTACAGTGGTTTCAGGTTCGATAGTTAGGCGCGGTTCGTTGTTTACGAAGTAAGTATTTATGCACTCGTGTAGTGTAGGTTACTTATCCATCTTCATCCCCGCTTCGAATTCACTCCATTCATCTGTTTCAGTTCGTTAAACGATGGATACATTTATTTAAAAACGAAGAGAAACAGACGTTAAACGAGGTTTTAAACTTTGCTATTACATTCGATGGGCGCCATTATTTCTCCGTCCTAAATTCGCACATAAATTGCAAAATTTGCATTTATTAGATTAATACATTCAGTAAATTACTTGCGTATGTATTTTTGATTCGTTAATAGCTAAAGGTTGAGTAATCTGTTACGAGATAGCTTTCGAATTAAATCTAAATAGGATGTTTCCTTTTATAAATAATACGCTTCTACAATTCGAAACCAATGTGAAAATACGTACACATTTAAAATTTTGAATCGAGGAAACACAGAATAACAAAGAAAAATCCACCAAAGATATCCTTTAATTTATTAAATTGTTTATTTAATTACGTGCTTATTGAGTTAATAAAATTATCGCTAGGTAAACAAACGTAAGTAAGTCGAATAACGTAACGAATTATATTTGTAGACGTAATTTTTAAGGAAACACTTTCGGCCTTTTGTATACAGGATGACGACATTAGGAAAACCGCGATCCGTAATTAGAATTGTCAAAGCGTAACTACAGGAAGTGCCAATCGAGTCCATCTGCAAACCTTCACTTGCACTGATTAACATCTGCAGATTTATCCAAAAGAGCTTTTAACTTCGACGTTTCGTCTTTGTGTTACGCTCGCAGATGTTTACAGCCCTTGGATTATTCTTACCAACGTTTCTAATTCCTATTTTTATCTATAAAATAGTCTGAGAACGTAGATTTGCCCCTAAAATTTAATCAACTTCTTATCTGGTTTTAATCGTAACAATTTAATTTGGTAGAATAAATTGTAACAAAAGATTGTAATTTAAAAATACATGAATAATATGGACAGACTTATCCTGAACAATGGATTTGTAACTGGAGTAAATGATGTTTCTACCTGTACACGTCATATTATATAGCTTATCACGCTCCCTTGTTTATTCAGTATTATAGTAATTAAGAGTTTCCGGGACACTGGGTGACGGTTCGTTACTCTATTGTAACGTAAATTATCAACACAGATTATGAACGATTCGAAGTTTTTGTTAAACGTCACGAAAGTTTTAACTATCAACTTGTAGATCACTGTACAGTAATGGGTATTTAGAAATTTACTTTTAGCTCCTATATAATTAGGCACGAGACTAATATGCAAGTACGCTGTTAAAATTTCGGACCTAGTTTTGTCAATGGAAAAGCTAAAATCATTGTTTGAAAATCGGATAAATGGCTTCACAATTCTTAGTATTTCAGAAGTTTACAAACTGAGATTAAGATCTGTTAGGCCTATGACTTTTGACAGTTAAGTGACTATCTCCCCCTCTACTATTGTATTCTTCCAATGTCATTGGGGCTTACTCGGCTGTTTTATGCGACGTTAGTCAGGTGTGATAGAACACCTGCACGATATGTACGTATGTTGAACACGTGACGGCAGAGTAGACATTTTGATGTACACATCGCCACTTTTTCTCGCTTCATGCTGGTGAATGTTCGTTGTGTGTACCCCGCAGACAGGAACGTACCGTGGATTCTCCACCTTACTTCGTGTCAGGTGAGTGGGAGCTAAAATCGGACGTGAACACCCCATCTGTACGCATCCTCCTCCCTCCGTGTGGGTGTGGGTTTTTTTCAATAGGCTCTCTGTTTTACTCTACCTAGAGGTGTTTGTAATTGTCCCCGTTGGTATATTTTTAGGTCGATTTACAAGTGAAACAGTCGGGGAAGTCGGTTCGAGTGCAGACGGATAAACCTCATTTGGTCAGTTTAGGTGGAGGAAGGTTAAGCACGGGTATAACTATCCACCCGTTACCAGAAGGTAAGTGTAAATATACTTTATTTCGGGTTACTTCAATCTGGTTTTTAAAATAGTAACCCTTTAGACGTCACAGACATCACTCCTCGACTCGATATCTAATTATTTAGAGCTAGGACAGATGTTATAGTTAAATAAATAAACAGTTTGAAAGGTTTTTATAATGTTACAGGCACGACGTATGTAGGACGAGTGGATGCAGGAAGACCTCAGGATATAATTATCCAAGGCAACGGAGCCGAGAGGGAGCATTGTGTCATCGAAAACACAGAAGGGATTGTGGTGCTTTATCCTCTCTGCGGATCTGTAACCGTCGACGGTATCAAAGCCGATTCTCCCGTTCGTTTGACACAAGGTATTCTCGTCTTGAACAATAATAATAATCGAGTAACAAAGATGCGAGCACGTGGCATACGTTACAAAGAAAACGTTTAGCTCTTTATACGAGTAACGCTTACACGATACTAGAAACAAAGTATGTGGGAGTTACACCGTAAGATGTTATACATTTGTAACGATATATCCACTACGTTTACGGATTCAAAAGGGAAATGTAGGCGTTTAACACGCAAACATTGTTGTACAAAAAAATGAAAGTGATAAAAATAGTCGCGGTGCAATCTTTACCCTCGCACCAAAAGCGCAGATGTTAGGGATGCAAACCGTTTAGGATTCTATTGTCGTTCAATTAAGGGAGGGATTGAACGTTAATCCCTCTCCACTTCCCTGCACAAAAAGCTCCAAGCGTTAAGTCTGTCACGTATGACGTGTACAGTTTATCAAGCGTTTAATAAAGCATCCTTAATCGCTTATAAATAATAGATAAAAAGATTTTATTCGGGATTACATGAAATTATTATTGACGGTGGTTACAAATACAAAAAAAAGTCGAGTAACGAACTTCAGTAGAAGGAACGAATCTGGTATTTGTTTGGCTGTCGACGGAGCTTATCTCCTACATTTTCGGGAACGAAAGGTCTTGTAGACGTACATCGACTGGCATTTTCTTTCTCTTCTCTTTTTACACCTGTGCGACTTTGTGACGTACCGTATTTATTCGACGAACTCTAACCCCTAACCCCGAATTCGGGGTTAATCCCAAAGGGCAAATTCCAAGAATCCTTCGACACTCTTCTAACCGCCTCAAGTATCGAGTGTATCGAAATTACTATAACGTAAACTAATGGCACAGAATGATGACTAAAGCAAATTAATTTAACGCCTCTCCTAAAATAGTTTGATTCCATCTTTCGTTAATTTATTAGGGAAATTGTTTACGAACGGAGAAAGTCGGATGGCCCGGTCACGTGTAATCGATCGAAAGTCGGAAACTAGCCAAAATAGTTCTGTAAACGCTCGCCAGATGGAGACGTCGTACAGCGAAGTGTAGTCTCTTCCGACCGCTCCGTGACGTCAATAGGATGTAATAAGTATTATTGCCATTATTTTGTATTTAGGATTTTTTTTTCTTTTGTGTTGCAGGTTGCATGCTGTGTTTCGGCAGATCTAATCATTTTCGTTTCAACCATCCTCAACAAGCCAAACAAATTAAAAAGATTTTACCGAATGGAGATATTTCTGTCGTTCCCGCCGTTCAACTCAGAGGTAAAAAGAAAGAATAGAAAAAAAAAATAAAATTATCTTTGGTCGAAAAATCAATTTAATATAAAAAAAAGAGGGTAAAACTCCGTAGACCGTATCCCGTTCGGGTTATTGATCTTGTTTATTTTTAAATTAAAAAAGAAAATATGAAGAAAGGAAAATAATAATAAAAGAGAAAATTAAAAATATAAGAAAAAAGACCCCGAAAAAATATAGAAAAAGTCAAAAAATACGAAGAAAAAATCCGCAAATATATATACAGTTAATTTTTAAAATTTTATATTAAAAAAATTTAAAAATTTTTTTAAAAAATCGTATAAAATTTAAATTTTATAGACTCTACCAACACAATTTACATGTTTTTATTAATATTAAAATAATTCATAATCTTCAATTAATTTTTTTAATGTCTTAAATAAATCAGGAGGAGAAGGATGAAGAAGAACATGATACACTTTTCTGTATAACAACTATACATAGGCCTATATTCTTTTGTAAAACGATTTAAGTATGTTGCGTATCTGATAAATGAAGGGCATCAATCAACCGAGAATCTCATCTCATCATCTATCCCTCAAAGGAAGAGGAGAAACAAAAATACATTTTTATCAAATATTCAATATTCAAAAATTACTTTTTGACGGATTTCTAATTAAAAAAAAGGATCAAATTATTATTTTAAAAATTTCTTTTTTTTTTAATTCCACTTCTTTCTAATTTTATTTTCTATGCTGAGCTGATTCATCTCTTCGGTTTAATTAGCACCGATTTTCATTCGACTTTCGGAATTATTTATAATCTGTCTCATAGAAGAAAAAAAATAAGATTTTTTCTTCTTTCCTACCTTCTTTTTTTTACGTAAAATCAATCGTAAAATTTTTTTGGGGGGTAGTTTTAAACAGTTGGAACATGAATATTTATAACGTGTCGTGCCGCCTTGTCTCCGATGAAAGTTGACAAAGAGCTAAATTAGATACACCCAAAATAAATTAAGGGTGTAAGTTTAAGCAAAGTTGAATATTTATGGAAGTATTTTGTGGGTTTCTTTACAGTTTTTTTTTTTACGTTTAGATTGCGGTTTTCGGAAAATTAAGAGCGCTCTCTAAATTTTCTTTTACTATCAATGCACTGTTTTTATCGATTAAAATCTCACTTAATTCTTTACAGATATCGGCGAGATACAAGAGTTGAGTTCCTCTCGAGAGGGATCCAAGAAGAAGAGCCAACAGAATATGTCTTCCGGCTTGGATAGAGATAGGGAGGTGTGGGACAGCGTCGACTTTGTGGATAAAGTGTCGAAATTTGAATATCTATCCCACCGGAACCCAACGGATGACAAATCCTCACGCGATAGCGGATGTTCGGACGTTTCATGGCCAACTAGTCCTTGCAGAACGGGCATTTCGACCCCGGAACACAGTCCTGGGTGTATCATTCTTCAACAATCTCATTTCAGCAGCTCTACTACTTTTGATTCCTCTTCCAGTCGTATCGCTTTAAATCGAGAAAACGAAATCGAGCGTGAAAAAAGAAAGTTTCTGAAAGACCTTTATGGCGGAACAAGAACTCAAGGGATGCCTTCGCAACCAGAAGTTAACCATTTACCCAAAGATAGCAATATTTATTGTCAGGTAAACATTTAGGAAATTTATTATTTTACCTGTTAACTTTCTTTTCTCTAAAGTTGAACTTTCGCTTAATAGAGACAATCACAAAAATTCAGTTCTTACTTTTCTTTTTCTTCCTCCCCTCTGGAATTATCCACAATTCGTAGGACTTGGATGTTTTATTGGATCACTCCAAACTTTAAAGTGAAAGTATCAGACATGATCATATTGAAGACAAGTTCCTTATACTTTCTGACAAAAATCAATTAAAGTTCAATTCGATATTAAATAGCTCAAAAGTAATTATTTATTAATATGATGATTAAAATCATTACAAAAAAAATTTGATTTTAGAAATTTTAATTTTTTGGGCTGCAATTTGAAAAATTTGTGGACCTATAAATACCCACTGGTGGCTGTCTGTCCTTTCTTAATCTCGAGAACGGAGTTAGGTAGATAAAAATCGAGACTATATATGAAAAGCTTAGGGGTAGGAGGCCTCAATTAACTATATACGAACTTCTGAAGGCGACGTAATTTCTATTCAAAAATTTTTCCCTGAATGGAGTTACCTAGATGACCAGCATGACTCTGTTGTTATGCGGAAAAGTATGATGTACAGGGACAAGACACTAATTTAAGATCGAGAGCGTATATTTTAAATTAAATAAATTTAAAAAAAAATGATTAAAAATTGCAGCCAGGCATTGTGACGATGTCACAATAAATAATTACTAACGTTTTAATCTTTATTGTTCTGTTTTAATGGTATTAATTTGATATTAGCTTAACTTGGAATTAGCATCAGTTTCTCCTCTGCAAAGATATTTTCTTGGAGAAAGTGTGTGTAATTTAAACTAGAGAAAGACAAAATTAATCTACGAATTTTAGTTGGTTGAATAGAAGGGTGGAAGCGATTTTAACCGCCCTAAGAGGTGGAACATGTTTATCGACAGAGTATTAAATATCTCAGCAATTAATAGCTATCATAAAGAACAATTTGCCAATTAACTGTCGATACCAGCACACAATTATCATTTACTAGAACATAATATCGATATCAAATTAGAAAAGTTTCTCCACAACTTTTTAAACGTAGATTTTTTCTTTTTTTTTTTTAATTGAAAGTAGGTAATTAACTGCTGGAAAGTCTTGTCTTGTCATTGATGATAGCCTGTTAAGCTTAAGAAAAAGATTTTGTTTTTTCTAAAAGATTAGTTAACTTCTTTGTTAAACTTAAATTTTCATAAATTAACTATTCTTTCATCTTTCTAGTAACGCAGCTGGATGTAACTTTATAAGTTTGAAATACGTTAGTACATTGATTTATCTTCTCGCATTTCCTTGGTAGTAGAGGTTTTTATGAGATACAAGAGCGATTAGAAAAGTTCTGTTCGTAGTAAAACTGTACGTTTCTCCTATAGGAAACGTCAGGAAATACAGAAAATGTCATCGATTCGCAAAAGGCTTTAGATGGTGCAAACGATGTAAAAACGAGCGAGGATTTGCCCCTCGTAGACAATAATCACTATCGTTATCCCTCGACCTGTGCCCAGTCTCCTCCTCACCAGAAACGCATCAAAACCAATGGTTCTCTACCTCGTCATAGCAACCACTCCAGCATGGACGGGATCGACGAATGTGCCAGGATACGTCCACCTGCGAGTCGATACCAATTCTCTCCGATTTCCTCGCAGATGCCGACTGCCGCATCCAACCACATTAATAAAGATTCGCAGCTTCTGACTCATCACGTGACTCAATGCGAAAAGGTATAGAAGCAGCAAAAAATATATATATTTTTAAACAAAATTTCTTTATTTTATAGTAATTTAGTATCGTTTTTTTTGTTTTAAATGCGACCTACGAACTGATAAAATAGTATTTTGTTTATTTAACTANCGACGAATGTGCCAGGATACGTCCACCTGCGAGTCGATACCAATTCTCTCCGATTTCCTCGCAGATGCCGACTGCCGCATCCAACCACATTAATATGAAAACCATGCTTCTGACTCATCACGTGACTCAATGCGAAACTATATAGAAGCAGCAAAAAATATATATATTTTTAAACAAAATTTCTTTATTTTATAGTAATTTAGTATCGTTTTTTTTGTTTTAAATGCGACCTACGAACTGATAAAATAGTATTTTGTTTATTTAACTAACAAATGGAGTTAGTTATCTTGATGATGTGTAGTTTTTTTTATTTTGATAATTTTTCTTTACATTCTTCCTTACATCTTACTAATTTATTCTTTTCAAACTTAGAACATGTCATCTGTACAGGAGAAAATCAAAGAATTAGTAGAAATAAGGGCTCGGTGCTGGAAGGCCATCTCGGAATATCAGAGAAACATGGAAGAGTTAGTGGTACAAGAAAACGAGACACTACATGAAGTAAAAAAGAAAATATTTTGATATACGATGCAATCAAATATGGAAATAGATTGGAATTTCTATGTAAAAAATAACATAAAATTTTTTCCTTAGTTAAACATGGAACACGCATTGATAGCCGGAGAAGAATTGGATGAACAAGGAAACCAAGAAAAAGAAATTGAAGAATTGGAAAATCTTTATCAAAAGAAACAAATTTGTGAAGTGAGTATACTTTAAAGTTTGGTTGTATCTGTTTTAAGGAAAATTGTATATACATACTGTAGGCCTATATGTAAAAAGTTTAAAAAAAAAAAAATTGTTTTTTAATCACTAAACCATTTGAATTTAATAATAAAGCTTGGTTTTTGTAAATATTCTTTAAATTAATTCTGTAATTTTTTGAATAGTAAAACAAACCTCATAAAGTTTTTCAGTTAAATAGCTTTTCCAAATTACTGATTATAAAAGTTACATAAAAGAAAATTAAGTTTATTTTAATATTAAATAGAGACAATAATTGTTTAGGAGACTTTAAATGGTAACGATAGTGAAAAGAAAGCCAATGAAGAAGACTGTAAAGATACTTTGGATGAAAAAAGTGTATCAAACTTGGAGACTGAGATTAACACGCTAAAGAGTTCAATATGTGAAAGGAAGGTGAGTTTTTTTTTTCCTCTGACAGACAGACATTGGATTTGTTTGATGTGTCAAGTAAAGGAAGTCTTTTATACATTCCATTCACATAAAGGACAGAAGTTCCTTTTCAAAATTCTCAAAATTCCTTCAAAAAAGAACTTTTAAGTTGACTTAATGCGGATATGTTGCTTCAAAGTCGACTCACTGTTTATCTTTACTCTACTGTAAATGTTTTGATCCTTTGGCTTTATAAAAGTATTATCGGTATCTAACAGTATACGAGAAAAAGTAAATAATTAATTTCTGTTTTTAACATGTTTTATTTATTTGTAGGGCAGATTAAAAGATTTAATGCAGCAGCAGGATATTTTGGTCAAACAGTTGAAAGAAGAGAGGCAGAGTCTTCAGAAACAAAAAGATCAATTGACTCACTACCTGCAACAGGTAAGCAAGATTTGTGTTTTAAATGGAAAAATCATTATCTTGTGGCAGTTTTCTTAGATGGGATTCTGTAATTAGGAAATGGGTAAACTTAAGAGGATAGAAGAAGAGTTGGAAAGCTTAAATCTGCTTAATTCTTTTGATATAGATGACTTGAAGGTTAGTTGCTTAATTCAAGTAAGTGCTTTTATATTATCAACTATAAAAAAAAAAGTACTAAGAGATTCTAGTTTTCATTTTTTATCATAGTTTTCTGTTTAGTTTGTTATTCTAATTTATTAATTAAGTTTTATATTAATTCTTATAATTATATTTACAATTTTAATTACAAATATCAGATATTTTATACAATAATTTAAATTTTTTTATAAATAAAGTAATATCATACATACTTAATGTAAGCTCTTTAACTTTCACACAAATCAAATTATTTTGTAAAGTTTTGTCACGTATTTATTAATTAATCATTCGTAAGCTAAAATTTATGTTTTGACTTTAATGTTCCAGATACAAAAAAAAATATCTGGCATAATTTGTAAATTAAACATCAGAAGAAATTAAAATGTATAGTCAATTAGGAAAGTTATTTATTGTATTTTATTTAAAACTGTTACTTTGTCAAAGTATTCATTTATTCTCTTGTCAAATGTCAGTTGTAAAGGTGTGTGATGTATCTCTTATAATTAATCACTGATAAAGATGCCATTTATGATTTGACTAATGAAAGAAAATTGCAAAAAATCATTTGATTTACACAAAGAATAATTCTTTTACACAAGAAATCTTTTAAAATTTCAAATGATACAAATAAAAATTCATTTTTTGTAAAAAGCAAAGGAAAGTTATATGACATTTCAAATTTTTTAAAGATTACACTTTTAATTGACTAATTATAAGTAATTTTTTAAGATTATTTTTATTTTATTTTCTAGGAAGGAAATAAATTTGAAAGAGAAAAAGGTAAAAATGATAATTAAATTATTAACAATCACATTATTCAATGAAAACTTTAATTAAAGTTTTTGTATGTTTTATACTAAATTTGATTTTTGATAGTTTAAAGTGATCATTCTTAGTGATCATTTTTATTTCAGGTATAGAAAGAGATGCTGAATATTCGGCAGAACTTTTGGAACCGGACGAAGCACAGAAGAGGACCTCTGATCTTTGGACTGGCAGGTAATTTGTCAAAATTTTAATGAGTTTTCATGCAAATGCTTAACTTGCCAGCCTAATCACTCTGGTTACATGATCTCGTTCCTGAGTTCAAAATGATTGTTCGATTTACGACCATCATTTGATAGATTGCAGACTGTGGGATCGCTCCTCGAACTCCAGCATCAGTTTGGTATTTTCTCTACGAATTGTTTTGGGTTTATATAAACATTTTGGAGTTTTGATTTTTCTTTTGTGACAGAGAACAAAGGCGTGAAAACCCATCGCTTTCCTGTCTCTTTTTAATTTGTCGTGGGACGTCACTTAGTCACGCTTGTCAGTTTTCTGCGACGTGTCATCATCTGAGAGTGATTAATGATGTCGGCTAAGTGTGATCGAGTAGTTGTGTTTGATAGGCAAAGTTAACATTGCCTACCAAACAGGAACTATCTTATTTATCTTAGAAAAATATCTTCACTCAGCTATTATGTTGTTACAGTGTTAAATGCTGTAATGACATTTGGTTAGAACAACAACAAGTTATGTGAATGAACATTTCATGGAAGCAATATGAGTTTATTTTCCATTCAAAACTTTATTAAAGATTTAATTTTTAATATGTTGCAATTATTATTATATGGCATATTTAAAATGAAATGTGTAAACATTGATTAAATTAATAATCGTACTTTTCTTTGTTTTACTTATTAGCTCGATGTTTGTTTATTAGCTTTTTCTATTAAAATTCTTCTGACAATTTGAATATCATAAAGTAAATTCTCTTTCTAGAATAATAAAGGAAAATACTCTGCATTTTAGATATAAATTATATTAAACTCTAATAGAAAAATTATCTGTAGAAATCATACTGTAATTTAAAGTTAATTCTACAGCATTTAATTCATATTACAGGATATTATTTTCAGTAAAATAAATTTTCTTTCAGAAGTTTAATTAGAATTAATGCAGTTGCCAAGAGGTATTTTAAATTAAATAATTTCTGTTTCCTGTAGAAAAATTTTATATATTTGTGTATATTAGATTATGCATAATTTAATAAGATAATAAGTTGACAAGTATACTTAATTGAATTTCTGTATTTAATAAAATTAAATTTGAATAAAGTATAACTTTGACTAAAATAATTTGCTCTTTATTTCTTTTAATATTTTATAACTTGAACTTTGGGTAAATTTTTGCAAACTCCAATTTATTTCTAGAAGAAAAAAATTGGAGTAATTAAGAAATGAAGATTATAAAAAAAGGTTCTAGAATAATTAAAACCTTCTCTTGAGAAGGGTAGTAAATGATGTCTAGCCCACTTAGAAAAAATATGATACTTGTAGATTCCTAGAATCATTATGATGCTCAGATTTTCATGATCTTCATCTAAAAGAAGTAAACGATCTAAATTATGTCTAGAAAATGAAGAAAAATGATATGTTCACTTTAAACAGATTCTAAATTACTTTCTAACTAACTCTACTTTTAAACTTAAGTTTAATCATAAAATAAAAGTGATTCTGAAATTTATTATTTTTCTTTTTTAGTGATGGAATCTATGAGGGTAGCAGTGCAATAACTTCTGACTCAGATATCACCGACTGTACAGAAAATGTGAGTCAATCTACATATATAGTCTTTAGTAAAATAGTTATTTTTAGTTAAGTAATGCAATCATCATTATTTTTTTTATCTTTTGGAACGTTTTTTTTTTTTTTTTTTGGTACTATGACACCCACAATTGTGTCGAGAATGGCTTCCAGAAATATTTTTCATAGAAGTGCATTAACTCGAGAAAGGTGATTATTCTGTTAAAACTTTCATGACTCACTTAACTAAAATTGAATACACATTTATTAGAAAAATTATAGAGGTTTTAAGAATAATGAATAATTCATTACTTGTGTGTTTTTTTCTCCAAATTACTGAAGTTGCAATTTGAAAAATAAACACTCTGATGAGCTTAGACCAGTATAAAATTTTAAATTACTTTTAATGTTATTACTCATTAGAAAAAAAAAGTGCATGACAATATTTAGTAATTAAAACTATCGATAAAAATCATAAAATTAAAAGTGGCATTATGCTTCCAATACAACAACTCTTATTGCAACCATTTAAAGTAACTGAACCACTTCTGGAAATTGAACAGACTATTCTCAACAGGAAGGTTGTTGAAAGTGCCAGAGAAACTAAATCCAAATCTGTGTAATTTGTTCTTTAATGACGCTTTTAAGATATCGTCCTGAGAGGAAAATGTCAAAAGCTATTTCTCCTTAGATAATTGTTATTGCTAAGTGGTTAATTAGTAGATTCCGGGATTATCTAATCAGTAGTTCGGATGTCGGATGCAATCAACGAAACATTAAAACACTTACGTCTTAGCTACTAAATTTCATTCATCAAATAATAACAGGAAAAATGAATATGTTTATCATTGGTTATGATTAATCATTACAACTAAATAACCATAGAAGATCAAGAGATCAAAATGATTTACTGTAAAGCTGTTATCAAAAGTAATAAAGACTATACTTCTCTCTCCCTCTCTGTTTATAAACTTTTAATGATTTAAAAAATAATTTTGAAGGAAAAAATATATATATTAAAACTTTCTTTCAAAAGATGGCGCCATGTATAAACTAAAGTTTTCATCCTTTCTGCGATGAATATTTTAAACTTTGGCTCCAACCAAAGCTGGTAACTAGTTTAAATGAATAAAGACAAGCTGCGTAGGAAAGTTCTCATTATGTCGAAGCAAGAAAGATAAAAATCACTGAATCATCGAAGTTTAGATATTTTTAGAAGAACAAGCATCGTAATTGCTCTTTATCGTTTAACATACCTCCTAAAAATGACAAGAATCGATAACGTGGAAGATCTCCCTTCTCTTATTGTATTCGGTATTTATACTGTGTAAGAAAAGGAAAATCTTGAATATGTTAAGAATTTTAATTTTTATATTTTGTGTTATTTTAATTTATTTTCGCTTCCCAATTTTATTCCTTTAAAAGAAAAAAAAATCTAAAAAATGTAATATTTCGGAAGCGGGTAGCGTCACAAGTTGATGATAAACAATAAAAGGAAAAATTAAGTGATATACAATAACAAAACTCGGGCGGAAAAGTGATATTTAATCGTTCAAAAAGTCTTAAAAAAGAGATTTAAAAATGTTCCTGTTGACGTTATATTAAGTATATGGCTCAAGCTTGACATTAAATTCCCATTTGATGTTCTTAGTAAATAGAAGCATCATGATTCGATATTCGATGTCATTTCTCTGGTCGAATCTGATTGATTTGGTGGATCTCGTGACAGAATTATGTCTCCATCTTCTCTTCGGGTTAATCAAAAAACTGAATAAGTGATTCCTTCATCCAAGATAAATCCGATTTTTCCATCTTCCAGTCATCATCCTTTTATTCAGAATGAAAAAAAATGAAAAGGATAAATCATATATTTATTTATTTCAAGATGGTAAATTAAAGTTAATAATAATAATAATCTTAAGCGTTTATAAATTTGTAATTTTTAACAAATTAAAATGATTTTTTTCAAACGTTTTACTTCATTTATGACAATTTAAAAAGGTATCAAAAGTTTGCTTCGCCTCGAGACAGTGGAGTTGAAAGGAAAAGTCGCCTTGGCAGGGGTCATATTTGTTTTCAAGTTTATGATTTTTTTTTTAACCAGAAATGGTGGCAAAACGGGTTGGCACAATCTCTAAAGTTGAAGTGGGTGGATTTACTACTAGGTTTAAATTTTCTCATCCAGGATTCCGAAATCCTCCTCCTCCTTCCAGAGTATTTTTATCGCTCCTGTTGGTAGCGTGACGATTTTGTGACTCACTCTCTCTTAATATTTTTGTGTAACGTTTCTCAAATATAATTTTTTTCTGTAGGTTTTTCGCTCAACTAAAATACGAAATAAACATCCAGGAATTAACTTTATCAAATTGATACTTAGAAAACTAATCTTACATTTATCTGAACAGATAGGTTAGGGTTTGATGGGTTTACTAGATAACCGATATCAGTAAACACCTTATTGCTTCGTCAGACTGAAATTTATACGAAACAAACACTTGACAAGAAATGGTGAGGGAACAGAGGATTACTTAGGGATTTAGTATGTCTGGAGGCTTTCTTAGTAGATCTTTTTCAGCGAATCTTTTCCCTTCTATAAAATGCGGGGTCAATGGAACAGAAGGAATGATGGAAAGCGACTGAGCGTTAAGAAAAGCAACAGCTTGTTTCTTAAATCCAACTTTTTCCTTTTTTACTCTGACGTTCCCCCCTGTCTCTCCCTCCTCTTACTTCTGTCTGCCAACGAATTACAAGTTGTAGTTTTTATGCTTTCTTCACGGTTGAAATAAGAGTTTTAGTTATCTGGATTTATCAAAAACTTCTTGATTTTTCTATCGGAGCAAGCATTTTTTTAATCTAAAAGTTTTTTTCTTCGTTTCGAGCAGGAACTCGTGTTATTCCGACAGCGAATATTTGCATAATTTATTTATTTATTTATTTTAAATAGATAAACACAAACAAAAATATTTATTAGATTGAATTTATTAGACACAACTTGATCAGAAAATGATACATATCGTATTATTAATAAACGAAAAGAATTATTTTATAAGCTATTTTATAAAATACATATTTATATATTTAAAATATAGATATTTATTTGATTGTTTAACTTGTGTAATTCTTTAACAAGTCTAACGAACACGTTTGCATTTTATTTTTCTTGTTTATCAAAACCTTGGCTTCGCTTATCTGCAGAGAAGGGGAGGAGGAAAAAAAAAAGATAAAAAGGAAACATTCTTTTGTCTTCTTTTATCTATTTGCGTTATCTTTCTGAGATGTTCATAAACTTTTTGAATATTCGACTTTGATCAAAATCGATATTCTTTTGTTTCGCTTACTGGATCGAAGAATTTCATATCTTTACTTTTGTTTGACCTCTTTGAGAAGTTCGACAAAGGTCGGACAAAAGGGTTCGGTGTTGCACTTCTAAGTATGGTAAAGGGGTCGTATTGCTAGGATTTACAATAGAGGAAAACAATTGTCGAAACTTCTTTGTTTAAGAATTACACTGCTATTCCTGTGTACGAAGGTCGGAGGAGTTTAAAACACAGAGAAAAGGTAGTTATGCTTTAAGGATGGGTTATTTTTTGGAAACGTGCAACCTACATACCGATAATATTCTTAGTTTTCAATGAATGGTTGAATTCGGGTGAAGGTTGGGTTATGTGGGCCAACTGAGTAACATTATTGTAGTTACTGGAAAGGAAGTGATATATATTTTTTTCTGCTTCTAAATTTATTAATTATATATATTTTTACTCCATTAAGAATAGTGTAATGATAAACAGTAAAGTAAATTATCGAGTTTAACACGAATCAGATCATTACAGAAAAGTGTCACGTTGAAAAAAGTAAAATTGATGGTTATTACATTTGTGAATGGATGAGTCGCTGCAGGTGGGCTCTTCTAATGTTTAGTTTGGACCACCTTCCCAAATACTTACTATTCAGGCCACGTGTTTAAATAAATCATGCATAAGCCGACGAAGTGGGACGTCGAATCAAATTTTTTTAAAACGGAGAAGTGGATGAATAGATTTGACGTCGACCCACCCTCGCGGTTGTTAGACACTCCCCATAACCCTTTTTTCCTCATCCCCGATTCTATTTTTATATCCTCTCGATCTTCTGTTGACTCAGATGTGACTTGTCTCTAAAAGGGATAACATGTCTGCCATTCTGATGGGTTATGTTATCAGGATTAAAAAACAAACGAAACGACCTCAACATCATAAACAGGTAAAGATATTTTTCAGCTTTTTAATCTGGAATTTTTCTCGAAAAATGAGCAATTTTGGTGATGATTATTATTTTTCTTCTGCTAGTTTTTTTTTTCTTTTTTTTAAAGCTCTATTCGGTTTTGATATAAAGAGAACATTGGTTTATGATCCGGAGATGATACAGATTATCGTATAAAATTCGGTTTGGCTTCGATAACGGAAGATGTAACTCGAAAAATTAGAGTTTTTGGGATGTTTCTCTACTTTCTTTGTTCGCTCGGTTATCCTCAAAGCGATTAATATGCGTGTATTTTTATGAGATTATTCAAACCATAAAACCGAATTCGGGTTTTTTTATTACAATTCTTACTTCGTTAATGATAGAGCGAAAGAGAAATTTGCCAAAAATATAGATTAAAAAATAATAATAAAAACCAGAAAAATTATAACACTCGTAAGTGTTATATAGACTGGAGAATGAGAGAAAAATCTTACTCGTGTTTTATTTTACGCATTTATACGTTATTGTACGCGATATAATCACGCAGTTTCCGGATTTATAAGCCGCTTTTAGATTTGTTATATGGCACATAATCTGTCAGCTCCGAATAAGATTCGAGTATCTACACTCTTCTACGCGATAATACTTTTACAACCCTTTATCGCTTTTGTCATCAATCCTCTTAGCCGCAAGAATAGTTCTGTCCCTATTCGACAATAGCATCGTGTTTTATTATATAAAATTAGCATTTTTGTTTGTTTGTTTGTTTTCTTTTTTTTATAGGACGTTAAACCAGATTTGCCT